CATGTAATACCAACTATATTTACTCACGTATATTCTTGCTGTTTCCAGAGCATAATTACTAAATTTCTTACTATCTACCACTATACCAGATGACAAAGCCTGTAAAATTATGTATAACCGTTTAATTAAATCAATGGCAACTCCTGTGATATCAGCAGAACAGGCAGCATTGTAAAAAAATCTTCTAGCAGTATTGCCAACATTACTATTTGCCGTCCCCTGTCGTGGTTTGTCAATATTTAGACCCAACTCTTCACGAAATCGCTTCTGTACTTCAGCCTTTTTTTTGTTGTTTGAGTCTTTTTTTTTCTTCGCTTGTAGCAGACCACGTTTGGAAAGATAGATTATATGATATGTGTAATATCATTTCCATGCAACGAATCCAGGCATGTAATGTGGATAATCCGTATTGATAAGCATTTTCAATTTTCAGGCCTGGCTGTTACTTTTGTTAAATCATTCATTTGTCTAGGAGTTGCTCCGCATATTGTACATGTGGAACTAGAAGGCGTATCTGTTAAAACTTGTGTCACTTTTCCGTCTATCATCGTCAAAAAAAGTTCATGCTTGACTTGAACTCCCACGCCTTCTTTATTAATTACTGATGGAAGCAAAGTTTGTATTTGATTTTTTATTTCATCTACAACAGATTTAGTTTTTTCTGGTGTTTCTTTACAAAATTCTATAGATATAGGCCGACAAAAACGAACAGATGAAGGCACTGGATTTTGCCATATGACGGCGCCTGTTTCCTCGTCAATTAATCTTATAGTCACAAAAGAAGTAATAAATAAATTTGCATCGGAAATAAGTTCAGACTCCAGACAGAAGTAGAGGTTGCTTGTACTGGCTTTGTCTAGATGACCCATCACAACCCCATTTGCTATATAATATTAAATGTTTTTGTCCATTCTTGTAAACTGTATCTATACATAAAATTCGAGCTGCAGTGTGATCTAATAGATCTTGAACTCTCAATATTTTTGCATAAGTATTTGTGATTTCGATTGTTGATGATGGTGGATAGAATCTCTGTTTCATTTCTTGTATTTTGTAGTATGGTGGAAATAAAGAACAGTTTCTTTCATCTGTAATGTTCCTGAGATACAGATATTGTACCTTTGTTAGTTCCAAGTCGATGAAGACACTTAAGGCTTCTTCATCTGTAAGCCCTTTAATTATTTTTGCATCATCTAATTGATTTATAACGAAAACCTTTTTCTCTGCATCAGCCAACCTTAATTTTTCAACAGCTTTTGCTTCAGTTCCTTCTCCTATAGAACGCAATCCTTGAAGATATGCGCTTAGAATGTGCTCTAAACCATATTCATTTAGCAAAACGGTGTTTTTCCTTTTTTTGCTCGATTCTGAAGAGTCTCCATATGACACACACGGTCTTCCTCTTTTACCAGAAGAAGTAGACGGTGTAGAGTCCGTTGAAACGTTTTCTGATGTTGGTATGGTTAACGAATATTCAGAATCCAACCAATTGGTGTTCTTTCTTAAAAAGGTATTCTTATTGCGTCCTGCTTCACTCCAGCGTTTATTAAACGATGGGATGATATCCCTTTGAATATGACCAATAATAAAACATAAATTGTCTTCTGAATCTTGTTTTCCCTCCAAATATGTTGAAAGTGCCGCAGTCGTTTTTCCGCCATCTATATAAGACACTATTAACTCACGTTTAGTACAGTTAAAAGTCGACATATTGAATAATGCAACAGCCGTACTAGAGTAGGTAGAAACGGTAATGGAGAAATATTTTTTCACTGCCCTTTTTATATTGTTTCAGAATGTGGGAATATTTCAGATATCTATTTTCTCACGAAAAATGATATCGAAATGATAAAAACTTAACAATATCAAATAATTAATTCATAAAACGTATCACAAGTTATTGATAATAAAAGTAAACTACGAAACCAGATTTGATAGCGATTTCCGTTCCCAGACTAGTATTCGATTTTTTCCCATATCTCCGTAAACCGCAAAAAACCGCAGCTAATTTTTTTATATGTTTTAGGTGAGTAACTAACCTATGAATTACAATTAAATTCAAAGCATCGGTAAACAACTCTAAATGGTAAAAGCTTCGACGAAGTTGAGGAAGGAATATTTTTTCCCCATTTTTTCTTTAAATTAGTTTTTAATTATGTATTCGTATTAAAAACAATCAACTGTATTTATTTATTTTTTCTGATAGATGTGCTTCATAAAAATATAAAATACCTTATACCTTTCATTTCAAGTTTTAAAACTATTTCACGTTGAAAAACGTAAATAAACAACTAAATATTTCCCAATTGCTTAAACGTTTAACTTTACTTCATGAAAAAAAAATGTATACCTAATACATTAGGAGTAACGCTGCAGAATATTAAACCTCGACTTCTGAACTTTTAAATTACATTCATAAAGTGCCCAATTTCAATCAGTGATAAAAATCAATTTTGATATGCCTTTGTTCTACCATATTCCACAGTGCGGCGGCCGTTTAACTCTTACCTTTCTAACCGGTGCATGGGTATCATATAGTGTAGTCACTACCTCGTTGAATATGTATACCTTGTCATCAACAGCAGCGGCATCGATCAGGGGTGCCCAGTCAATACGTGAAGCATCATCACTCAACTTCTCCATATCCATCCGCCTAAAGCAACGCCTGTAAAGGAACTTAGGTTTGGGTTTTGGGGGTTTGAGGACGTAGGAGAGGAAACTCAGGTCATGATGAGAGAATCCGGGTGCGTCTAGTTGACCATGAGAGGATTTACGAGTAAGTTATACTCGTAAATCAAGATATTTTTTTACTTTTTAATTTTGTTCTTTTAAGTTTTATTGACCTATTATTATGTGTTTAATATGTGTGTTATATTTTTTGAAGATTATATTGCACACCACTTAGACCGATCCTCAAGGCATATATCCAGCAGTGGACTGCGATACGCTAATAATGATGATTTTGTTGCTTATATTAGTATAATTTATATTTTTTGTACATTAATACTACTTGTGACGCTATATGTACATAATTGGTTTTGCGATACGTATTACGATAAAACACCGTACAAAGAAAAATGTTGAAAGTCCTTGTTATAATCTGTACCTAAATCATTTCTTAAATTAATAAAACGAATTTGCGTTAAACGAACCGCAACTAATACAAATTAGTTCACTGTCAGTTACACACAGTGACAGAAATGAAGCGACGGATATATCATCATAAATATATGATTGGCGCTTATTTTTGTTTTTTTTTTCATCAACATTTTATAGCACAGTCATAAAATGGCAATTCTATTAATTAATTGTGCGGTTATCTGATACGTAAAAGAAAAGCCTAAAATCGATTTAGTGGCATGCAATGGGAGAGGCCTATGTCCAGCAGTGGACTACGATAGGCTGATGATGATAATGATGTGATACGTTTCGGGTATGGGGAACAAACGAGCAGACGGGTCACCTAATGGCAAGTGACTACCGCCGCCCATGGACAGCTGCAACTCAAGAGTCACATGTGCATTGCCGCCCTTTCACACCCTCCCCCAGAAACAAGGGGAGGGAGATGAAACACACCTAAAGAACTGCCTAACACCTGTTTTCTATGAGATCGTAGTATCATTGCGATCGAGCCTGTCCCATATGTGCTTAGACATGGCTCTTTCATGATACTATTAATAATTTACTAAACAGCGTGAAGGGACGAGTATTTTGTGTAACTCCAACAACCTCTGACCAGGCTGCTCTCTAGTCTTCACTCCGTCTAGTCCAGGGGACGTGCGGAGGTTGGATCGGGGCTTTAGCCCCCTGCCAGCGGTGTCTACCGCTACCCCTAAACAGGGATAAGTTATAGGGTACTCTTGACGATATTGATCTGTGTCTGGAAGGGTTGCTTCAGTCTTCACGCCGCGCCGCCTCGTCGGTCAAGCCCGAGCCAGGTGAGACCCCAGGCGGCACCTAGATAGGCTCCGGCCATTCGTCGATATATAGAACTTGTAAATATACTCGGTGCTAGAACTTTAATTGCGCGGTGCAGATTCGTTGTTGTTCCGTAGTTCAGTGTGTCTTCAATAAATAGTGTTAAAGTATGTTTTTCTGTGTATGTGGAAGTCGCTTACAACAGTTTTCATCGTGTTAGCGTACCTAAATGCTGCTGTTATACATTCTATGATAATATAATCGTTCCTTTACCAGTATTATTACTGTTTCATCTCGTCTTAGTAGAGCAGCTCAACACAGAACAGTAAACTGGACTTACAACATAATTAATTCAATATGAAACTCGGGCAATAAATTTCAGTACGCTAATAAATAATAACATCTCTGGCGAAACTTAGTACCATGACAAAAGTTTGTTGCAGTCCCCCGTAATGATAGCTTACAGTTTTCCTCCAACTAAGCTGATTTGCAAGCCCTCAAAAGATTTCCTCTTCTTCTGAACTCCCCGTTTGATACAAATGAAGTCATTTTTCGCGTGGCTTTTTCGTTAAGCTACATAAATGATCCAGGGGATTTAAAGCTCGTTTCTGCCAGAGAAAAATATTTGAAATCTTGAATTTGAAGTTTGTTTGTTGCCAAAACTCATTTGTGTCGATATTCAAATCAGTTTTCTTTATGTTAACTGAGATTAGCATCGTAATCTTAAGATTTTTTTTAAAATAGATACAGATAAGTCCGTGTGATGACGGATTAAGATTACGGAGTGTCACCACCCCTATTCATCTCGTGGGTGTCGTAAGAGCCGAATAAGGGAGCAAACTATGCAGGACAACAGCACTGCAAAGATAAGGAAAACTTGATACAAACTCTATACCAACCCGTCTAGCCAGCGTTTTATAGTAGGCCAAAACCTCCTTTCTAAGGAGTGGTCTATGTCCAGCATTGGACTACTAAAGGCTGTTGATGAAGTTTGGCATACTTATCTAAACTAAATGATAAGAAAGCTTATTAATAGGTTTAACAATAACGAACATTAATTAGTAATTGTTTTCTACCTACAGGGTGATTGGGTCTACCCATACCGTCCTGGAGAATACGCCACCCTTACCAGGAAGTATCTTGGCTCCCTGTACTGGTCAACCCTCACTCTCACCACCATAGGAGATCTGCCAACTCCTGAAACCAACGCCGAGTAAGTACTATTATGTTTTGACTCATGAATGTTTGATACTTTCTCAAATGCTTAAAAAATGGCGGGAGGGTTAAACGGCTTGTAAAAACTAAAATTATTACTTTTACTTAGAAATAAACTAAGTTACATTTACTTTGAGAGATATTTTTAGTAATTCTGATCTGAGTAATTCTGACATAGATAACATTATTACACTACACTTTTACTAGTACCCCGTGAACTCTCGAATTAACGCGATAAGATATCTACTAAACTGTACCAAATGATCGTATGTTTGATTGACCCTTTGATTATTAGTAATCATGATCAAAGATTATGATTATTACTTTGATCTACATACGCTGGTTTTGCTTCTGTTTACTTACCACGTACGTACTGTGATACATGTAAGCACAAAGCATCGATTCCTTCTCTTACTGCAAATTAAATTATCCGTCTGTAATGTACATATCTGTCTGTAATATTTATCTAACATAGTGTAGTTAGAAATATATATTTATTCTAAATTTGCAAAATAAAAGAATTAATTATAAATGCACAATTTGGCAAAATTTAGAAATGATGTAGTTCCAAAAAAGTACTAGAATCTATGGTTTATGTACATAGGTTCTAGTACTTTTAAAACAATAATGACAACAAATACCAATTCAAAACTCCAAAACCGTGATTCAGGATTATTGAGATCAGGATTATAATGAATACTATAATTTTCCTTCTTCGAATTCTTTAAAGAGATATTAGCAATATTCTTGTGACTATACACTTTATCAGTTAGTGCATTAGGAAGGGTAAACTTACTTCATAATACAAAAATTCAGTTTACTCTAGTACTATTCCTTCAATCTATTTCTTTGTACACTTTCCTCTAATCTAACAATCGTTAATAATCGACGTGTTGTTCCACGCTTTGTTTGGTAAAGTTGTATCGCAGTTCTCCAAATATAAGCATCTAGCCTGTTTAAAATCTTGTATGAGTTTTTTAATTCGTAACTTTGTTGAAGAGTATAAAAAAACCTTAAATGAACTGAAAGTTTCAAATAACAAATATAAGTTTATTTGTGTGTATTAGAACCGAACATTTACTGTTTGTTATATTTTAAGTATCAACTAAAACATAACTTAAGCGTATATAATTCTCATAAACAATAATTTAGACCAACTATAAGAATCCAGCCAAAAGGTATTGGTCTAGAATTCAATAAGTACATTGTCTTCAACAAAAATGGCTAAGCAACTATTAACCTCAAAATTAAGAGTGCAATACAAGGAAATGCCCTTTAAATGGTCTCATTAGGATCACAATTTCAATTTAAGTCCCCAATCATTAAGGCTGGTCATTAAAATTCACAATTTCGTGCTTAAGAAATCAACAAAATACTAAGCATTGCCATCAAATAAACGGCGGCAATTAAAACACCGACCAAATAATGAATATAACTGTTGGAAATGGTAACGTGGATAAAGAATTGATCCCTTCTCTTATTTTCTTTTATAGATTTTAAAAGAATAATATCGTAACATAGTCAAAAAGACAAATGTTCTGTCAAAGAGCCTTTTAGCCTTTAAAATATTAGGCAATAGCCATAAATGGTCTTAAAATATTATTTTTTAAATCAGTTTTCGTAAAGCTATAAACCAGTAGTGTTAAATATAACATAATGCACTGAAATTGAAACTTATAATAATAAAAGTACATAATGGACCCAGCAGACCGCGTAAACAACCATAAAAATATCAATCTCCCGTTCTCTTGACGCTTCACATGAAACTCCGGAGAATAGATACGTGAATTTTCTATAGAAATTGCTGTTTGTTATTAACCATTTGAGTCACTTTATTATACGTTTTTTATATTTCCATATAGTAATATAATATAATATCAGGTTTTATAAGTATAATTTAACAGTAACATTATTTGAAGCGAAGTTTACTTTCTATTTACATTTACTGTAAAAACTATGTTATTTTCATCCGACTTTATCTTATATTACTAAAAAAAAACCACGTATAAAGCCACGTGATAAGTCAAAGAGAAAAAAAATACATTTTTTTTCGTCTTTTGGTCTGCCTGATAGATGTAGGTACAGGCGACAGACAGACAGGTGACAGACAGGCAAACGAAAAGTAACATTAGAACCTCACCCATTCTATACATTACCAATGTCAACACTTTTCTATTACAAGCGTTTTATTTTATAAACCTTTTCATGATTTTAATTCTACATTTTATAGCTTACAGTGAGAAATAGTTAATACAGAATTAAAAAAATACGCTAAATAGAAAAATTGTTTCTAACACCACTTAAACAAATAACTTTATTTTGTCCTCAGTTAGAAAAACCAATAAAATGCAGCAATGTGAAAGTTTAAGCATTAGGTTCTGTAATTAAATTAACAAAAGCGTTACTGCCGTGATTAACCCTCCCAACACGTACGCACTTTACCTCGGGAAAATAACGTCTATTTTACTATGGCGCTCTTGTAAAAATACAATTACACGAGATTGCTTTCCGAGAGCTTTCCTACGTTCAATCTTTCCCGCAGTAAAGAGCGTAGAGAGCCATTGTATTGTTAAACCCGGCTTTGAAACAAGCGGCAGCCGAGACAATGGATTTGCATGTAAAATGGAACTAGAAATGACGCATGTGGTGTGATATTTAAGCTTTGCGTGATTAACTTGCCTTTATAACCCTGAATTTTGGATGTCAAACTTTTCACCGCTGTCTCTGCTCCAAAGCCATTGCTTTAGGTTTTAGCCGGTGTGCCAGCTATGTACAGTATAAGACCGTAACTAACAGAATTAACACAAAGGTTGTATGTACGGTAGCACGCAAGGAGGCCCTAAATTTCTGCCGCGCCGCGGGCTCAAATCCCGCCTGCTGCAGTTCAAATCCAATAAAGGGTATGTCTTAAGCTATCACGCGATTGGTCAGATCATTTTGGAATTCAAGTTTGATTTTAGAACGCTATTTAAATTCCAAATGCGTATATATGTATACCAAAATGGCGTGTAACTATATCGGATTTTAATTTTAGAACGTGAAGTGTTTGCTTCTGTGTAAATATAAAACAAAGTGGGAATGAATTCAAAGTTCATTACATATTACAAGTCTGCATAATAGTTATTGCCAAGCACAAGAATTGATTTCACATAAGAACAATTTTAAAGATAGCAACTTTAGTGATTATCCGTCAAATCGCATTGGCTTCTTATTCTTCGAAGTAATCAGTGTTGTTTGACATTTAGAGACCCTATTTGGGCTATAGATCGATAAATTTAATCACAGTCAGCTGAATGTTGGTCATAATAATAAATTTTATTGGTAGCTTCATCTAAGATGTTCTTTTCGGGTATATAAAAAATGCTTTAAAGTATCGTATCTGTTTGTCAAGTTTTTTTTTAACCAAGGCTTTTTGAACTACTTAAACACTATTTAAAAATGCCACACGAAAGTATTTCTTTGAAAACTTGTAACCTAACCCTTTATCCTAAAGCTTTTTGTTTTTACTTTATACTTATAATTTGAATTTGAAAGTTAGACATTAAAAATAAAATAATTGCAGATGCAGTCAGAACAATAGTAACACCTAAAGTTTATTAGTCAAATTGATCAAATAAAAAACAAAAGGCTAAACAGAAATAAAGGTCCTTTTGTTTTCGTAAAAGTTCCTAAAATTGACGTCTAGGTTTAAATAAACTTTTTCATCAGAAGTTGTTATACAAGATTAGAGGAAAAACTCGACAAGTTGTAAAAGTTATTACAATATCGAAACTTTTGTAAACACAATTTGTATAACACCTATATATAAAGGGTATAAAGGGTACTATAACCTAATCCACAGTAATCACTAATGTGTCATTTGAAGTTTAGTTTTCCATAATATGAGATCACACATACATACGAGTATGTTATAGAAAAATTTAGAGCCTCGTACTTTTGTAAGAAAATAATTTATTCAGTTTATCTCTAATCGTTATTTTCTTAAACTATACTAATATGTTATTTTCTAATAATAATATATTATTTTCTTAACCCGAAGCTATAGTTGAGAAATTTACTCAATTCGGTTTTTTCTTGTCTTTTACCATTTTACCTTTAGTTAAATATTACCGTGGGTTTCCGCAACTGTTTGATACACGTTAATTTTTAAAGACACCTTTTCGGTAAAATATCGATTCGCCACGATCATCTCACCAATTTGCCACTTGTGTTGCATCCTCGTACTACTAAACCTCGTGCCTCGACATTAATTACTTGTCGATTTGTTATTTGAATCGTAACGATTTTTCAAATTTGTCTGGGTGAAGATTCTGAATTGATTAAAATTTACAATAATAATAATAACCTCATAATAATAATGTATAATAAACAATACAATCCTAATATATATATATGACTGCACAGATGGCGTAGTGGTTTAAGCGGTCGCCACGCCGCTTAGTACTGCGCCGAGTGTTGTGGGTTCAAACCCCACGTGGGACGACACTTTGTGTGATCCACAAATTGTTGTTCTGAGTCTGGGTGTTCTTTGTGTCCGTTTCATGTATGTTTGTAAAGTCCCCCGCGACACAGGATATATTCCTAATGAAAAAAAAAAAACGAAAAAATATACTAAGAGATGAGTGATTTGATTCTATAAATGCCGACAATTCTATGATTTAAATTACTTCAACTATCAGTCTAAACTAGAAACATGCTGAGTAAATAGTATTTTTGTTTGTAGAGGAGAAGAAGGAAGGTAGGAAATTAACAACAGATAAGAAGTTAAGGTTGTAGGTATCTAATACTTGAAAGGAAAAATCATTATAAATTTTTTGTTTGAGTTTTTTTATTTTGTTTAATTATTTATATACATAATGTAATAGCGCGAGGCTTTCGACGCAAGTTGCTTCGCACACCAAAGACACCTTCAGTGGCAATAACGACGAAACCCAAGTTCTCAACCGTCAAACCGATAATCATAAATAAAATCTTGTATAGCCGTCACTCACTACTTCGAAAT